AGGGAGGCAGATCTCCTGCCACTTTCCTCATTAGAACCCTGCAAGTGCAGCAGCTGATTGATAATTAAAAAAATCACTCCCATTCACATTCATTTGGCACATGGACACAGACAAACAGCTATATCTTCAAAATGACAAAAGTTAGGAATCAGCAATAAGGTTTGTCAAAATCACTTCAATGTTCATAAGTCACCCAGAGAGGAATGTTTTTTTTCTTTTTCAACAAAAGTTGAGTTACTCTTTAAAGAATAAGTTCACCTTTGGGAACATGTTGCATGTTACACAGTCTTTAAGGTGGAACATGTAACATGTTCCCAATGCTGCAGCCGCCGCCCCCGATGCACTGCAAAGCTGTTTGTTTGATTATGTTAATGTGCAAAGTGAGTCTGAATGGAAGTGACTTTTCCGTTATGAATCATCTGTTGCACTTGCAGTGTTCTAATGAGGAAAATTGCAGGGCCTGCACCATTTTAGAAGTAATTACCTATTTTGAAGTATCTCACAAAAAAATAAAATTTTTGTTACAGATGATGCCTAAAATCTGACTGGTATCTTAGTGCAGACTTCTCAGAACATCATTGAGCCAATCACATAAGCAGGAACTATTACCTCCAGGTTGCCATATTGCACTGCATTTTACAGCAAATTAGATTGCTGTAGATTGAAATGGAGAGGTAACTTTAAGTAACATTCAATTACAACATGCTCTATTATCATAATAATAATTTTTCTTGCAAAACTGGAGATGCCCTTTAAAGCAATGTCTACTTTCAGCAAAATATTTGCACACAATCTCTCCATACGTGCAACTGTAATTCAATGAAGATGTGATAATACCAAGGTTTTAAAACTTTTTTAATTAAAGAACAGTATTATGTGCATTTATTCTTTATGCTATCAAGGAAGCACAATATTAACTTGTTGAAAAAAAAAAAAACATGATATACCAGTACAACTCATATAATCATTTACCAGACATTAAGAAATACTGGATCTACCTGATCATTCCATTTAAAGTCAGGATTGATGCTCAATCGAACTCTAAGGACTGTGCGCGTAATTGGTTGGATAGTGGCTTCCATTGTAATGGCTGGAATTTGATGGACGCACTGTTTCACCTTTAGCCCAATGTTCACATGATGTAACATGTGACCTAAAAGAGGCACAAAAGGTTACAAATATTTGCATAAACATTTGCATATACAGGAACAATAATGCAATCAGACTTGTAAATCAGCTTTTAGATGGGTATATTTACAGCTTGCTGTTTTGCATTGTGTTGTACAAATGAGTGACTTTTTTGACCTGGCATGTTCTAATGTTTTGTAATACTTAACTGGAATTAGCACACAGCAGTTTTAGTATTTGCAGCTCAGAATAATAAGTGTTAACCCATTTAAAATAAAATGGCTTTAACTACATTTCTATGATAAACTACTTTATATATGCATTCAGCCAGTGAAAATGAAAATAACCATATATGTTAAGATCACTGCCATTTCCACTTTCACCTTTACTAGGTTAGACTGTGTAAAGAACAGGTGCTTTCCACAAATATTCCTTATTCTTACTTGCCCCTATAGCCTGTTCAAAAAAAGTCAGTTGTAAGGGTATTTGTTTTGCGATAAGCTAGAATCATTAGATATGAGTCCAGAGCACTGAAGTGGTGTATTTACATTATTATTTCTACAATAGTTGCTTCTGGCCACCAATAGGAGGAGCATAAGGGAGGAAATGCAACAGTCTTTGAAGTTAGATAAATTAGCATTTCACTCTCTCTTCTTTCCCAAAGATCCCTTTAGTGATAGCAGGAAGAAAAAAATGTGAACATACTGAACCCAGACTGCAGACCCTCATGGCTGAGACTCCTAGTTTTCAGCAAACAGGTACCTCCTGCCAGGGGCGGACTGACCATTGGGGAACTTGGGCACTGCCCAGGGTCAGTAGGGGGCCCAATGAGATGTCCCTGGTACCTTTCATAGACTTTTTTGGGTGTGATTTGAGTGTGGGCGAGGACACAGGGGCCCCATGATCCCCTATTGCCCGAGGGCCCCATGAGTTGTCAGTCTGCCCCTGCCTCCTGCATTTGACTTTTTAAGCAGGTAGCAGGAAAAACAGAAGACTTATACTTCTGCTGCTGAACTCTATTTTGCACCTCAAGTGGCCAAGCCAATGATACAATTTGTCAAACATACATTACAGCCTTATAAGTTTGAAAAAGAAAGTTCTGAAACAGCACAGCTTATAGTACAGTATGTGTATCAATCCAATATTGTCAGTAAATTACACTAATAGTATTATGAAGATTTATATAATTATCTCCTCGCTCACCATTCTGATTCTTTAAAGAACTACTCCAGGAATTAAGTCACTATTTATTTACAATTTACACTTTTATTGAGCTTCAGGAGTACAGCTATAACTATACTCCTAGCACTCTAACAGCAAAGGTACAGTTGCTGTGTGACTGCCTATCCATCCTCTTTGCTGGATGGGAATAGACTCACATAATACAAATTCTTCTGTGACTGGGCAGGGTGGCTGCAAAATCTGAGACCCGGCGGTCCAGTGTAGGAATGCCAGGAGTATAGCAATATCTGTACTTCAGGCGCTCAGTAAAAATATAGATAAAAGAGATAAGGCCACAAGATGGCACACACCTCATTGGATTTAACCCATTGTAAGAAGCACATTTTAAATAGTGACTTAAACCCTGAATTTCTTTTTTAACCTATTCAATACAGGGCACTTTTACCCCTTCCTGCCCAGGCCAATTTTTAGGTTTCAGCGCTCTCACACTTTGAAAGACAATTCCGTGGTCATGCAACACTGTACCCAAACTAAAATTTTATAATTTCGTTCACGCAACTAGAGCTTTCTTTTGGTGGTATTTAATCACCGCTGGGGTTTTTATTTTTTGTTAAATTAACAAAAAAATTCCGAAAAGTAAAAAAAAAAAAAAAAAACATGTTTCTTTGTTTCAATTATACAAGTTTGCAGATAAATACAGTTGTGACCATAAATTTTCAGGCCAAGAAATTGTATTTTTGGCCAGTTTGACATTTCTTTGGTGAAAATAAGTCAAATTAGGATGTACATTTACATTAAAGTTTGTAGGTCAACAATATAGTTCACAAACAGTTATATATGTGAAAAACTGATCAAATGTCTTTTCTGAAGTGCTCACAGCCAATCAATTTCTTGAGGCCCAAAAATATCAGAACAGATATCCCCCAAATGACCCCTTTTTGCAAAGTAGACAGTCCGACGTATTTCATAAGAGGCATGGTGACTTTTTTTGGAAAATGAAGAAATTAAAAAAACGTTTACAATTTTTTTTTACATACTGTCAGCAGTGCAGTACAGCATCATTCTTCATAACTGGCGAGGCCTCCAGTGATCAGGGACACTGACTGGTGACAATACGAAAAAAAAAAAAATCATTTCTTTATTTTTTTATTACATTTTTTTTTCTTTTTTTAAGATTTTTTTTTTTCATATTACACTATGACCAAGGAAGTATAATGTTACCATAGTAACATTTTACTACTTTGGGGAAGTGATCAATATTTTTTTTTTTACACAATTTGATTGCTTGTAGCAAATAATTTCTTGAAATCGATTAATTCAGGTTTTTTAGTTGTGATTAGCCACGGCTAATCACATGACACAGATGGGCTGTGATTGGCCCAGGCTGTGCATGTGATCACTGTGACCATTCACAGCTAGACACACTTGTATACAATGGATGGCATGGAAGGAAGCCATCCCTTGTATACAACTGTCATGTGGCCTGCAGTGATTGGTCACAGCAGGTCACACGGTACTGGCAAACGGGGTTGGTACACAGATCTGTCATCGGCCGTGTTCGAGGTACACAGCCAGTGACAGATCTCACCACAACTTTTGTGGCTGCCTTGCGGGCACGTGCAAAGCGTGATTCAGGAAGGACGTTATATGGCGCCCTCAGGAGGGACGAGAGGTTTGCCGGCCGTCATTTTACTATAGGCAGGCAGGAAGTAATTAAATACAGATATGACACATGAGGCAGTCAGAGAAGACTATATCAGGGGTAGGTCAGACAGAAAGGGAAGGTGGGCTGTACACATATGTTAAGCTTGTAAAATTTACCAGTCAGCTCTGCAGGTGATCAGATCAATGGTATCATTAGTAAAGAGACCATAGACTACAGCAGTCGAAAACAAACTCAGGTTTGCTGTTGTAGCTATTAGCTTGTTTTAATAACTGTCCTTGACAATCAAATGGTAAAAGGTGCTTTGAATTAAAATATATTGGTATGTAAGTATGCCTTAGAAGACACTCCTGACAAAAACCTTATCTTGGGGGAACAACAGAGATTAACCTAGTAATCAACTCTCACTCCCCCCTCCTGCCCCCTGGGAAGAGTTATTCACCATGTTATACACCAATGGAGGATGGAAGCAAAAGGAGTCTGGCCTTACAATAGTTGCCTGATACACCATAAATCACCAGGTAAGTTTTGACAGTCAAATGTCACCTTACCTGGCCCACATCTAAAAGTATGTTTATGGGCTCAAGACACTGTATGAACCTCATCCACCAATTTTCAGAGTGGTAGGGGGGGGGGTTGTAATACTGACAGCTTAGTTAGATAATACATAACTGTTACTATTTTGTTCATGTGATAAGCTGCCTGAGCCTAAAGTCACTCAGGTAATCTTTATATGCATACATTTCTTTACTGCCACGGCCTTTTTTAACTTGATGGTACCAAGCAAATTTATATCAAGGTCTAAGTAAGATATTTTACCAATTTCATCTTTCCGCATGTCCTTCAGTTTATCGATAGTGAGCTTCCTCTCTTCCAGTTTTGATAACACAGATGGAGGCAAAATGGAGAACTGCCTCAGTGGGCTGGCCCAGCCCCACAGTCGCTTATCGATGATTTAGCTGAGGTTCAGTAGTCTATACGTCAAACTAGCTGGCCATCTTTTTCTGAGGGCTATTTCAAAAAGTACTCGTACAATTCTAGCTGCATTCTGGCCCAAAATAGTGATCAATGCAATGGAATCAATGTTTGCAAAGTAATGACAAAACAGCCAAACCAAAATGTATAGGCTACATAGAAAATGAAGATGTGTTACAACCAGATTATTTTAATTGCTTAGTATTCTCCCATATCTATATGTATAGAGCAGCGGTTCTCAACCTGGGGATCGCGACCCCTTTGACTGGGGACAATCGAACGACCATTTCCCAGGGGTCGCCTAAGACCATCGGAAAACATATTTCCGATGGTCTTAGGAACCGAGACACCGCTGCTCTGTCTCGCGATTTTTTTTTTTTTTTTGTGGGCGGGATGATATGCTGCCCCTGTAACCTGGCCACACCTCCGGGATCACTCAACAGCTCCGCCTCCTCGCCGCTGATTGGCCACCGGAACTGTAGCTCAGGAGAGGCACACAGGCGGCCAATCACCGGCGAGGAGGTGGACCTTGGAGAGGAGGAGCCGAGCGGCAGAGCGCGCAGATCGACAGAAGATCGAGGGAGCTGGCAGGACCGAGTGTAGAGGAGAGAGGCCAGAGAAGGAAGACAGCTGACAGGTAAGTGCAAATTTTGCTTCTGCAGGATGTAGATGGGAGAGGAGAGAGCGAGCCCAGGCTGGAGCAGGGGTCAGCAAGGTAAGTATCATGGCCTCAGTGGGAGGAATAGTGCCCATCATTTGTGTCACTAATACTGGCAACGATGGGGCACTATTCCTCCCCCCACTGACACCAACGATGGGCACTATTCCTCCCCCCACTGACACCAACGATGGGGCACTATTCCTCCCCCCACTGACACCAACGATAGGCACTATTCCTCCCCCCACTGACACCAACGATGGGGCACTATTCCTCCCCCCACTGACACCAACGATGGGGCACTATTCCTCCCACTGACACCAACGATGGGGCACTATTCCTCCCACTGACACCAACGATGGGGCACTATTCCTCCCCCCACCAGGAACGATGGGCACTATTCCTCCCCCCACTGACACCAACGATGGGGCAGGAAGTAATCCCCCCATGACACCAACGCAGGAGAAGCACTATTCCTCCCCCCACTGTAGGTCAGACAGAAAGGGAAGGGGGCTGTACTGACACATATGTTAAGCTTGTAAAATTTACCAGTCAGCCCTGCAGGTGATCAGATCAATGGTATCATTAGTAAAGGGACATATTCCTACAGTTCACTGAACAAACTCACGTTGGGGCACTGTTTCCTCCCCCCACTGACACCATTAGCTTGTTTTACTATTCCTCCCCCCACTGACACCAAATATATGGGGCACTATTCCTCCCCCCCACTGACACCAATGATAGGCACTATTCCTTCCCAAAATGGATGAAGGTGCTTTGAATTAAAATACTATTGGTATGTAAGTATGCCTTAGACACCAAAAACCTGATGGGGGAACACAGAGATAACCTTCCTCCCCCCTCTGATACCAATGATGAGGCACTATATCAAGACTATACAAATGAGGGGGCATAAGGAACCCACTGGCACTTACAATAGTTGCACTATTCCTACCCACTAAATCACCAGATAAGTTTCCTCCCACTGACAGTCAATGATGTCACACTTACCTGGCCCACACACCTAAATGGGGTATGTTTATGGGCTCAAGACACTCCTGACACCAATTTGGGGCACTATTCCTCCCACTGGGGGGGGGGGGGGGGTTGTCCTACCACTGACACCAGCTTATGGGACACTAATCCAGTGTGACTGTGATGGGGCACTATTTTGTCCCATGTGATAAATGATGGGACACTATTCCTCCCACTGACACCAATGATGGAGCACTATTCCCCCCACTGACACCAATGATGGGGCACTATTCCTCCCACTGACACCAATGATGGGGCACTATTCCTCCCACTGATACCAATGATGGGGCACTATTCCTCCCACTGACACCAACGATGGGGCAAGCTATTCAAGGTCCCAAGATACCAACGATGGGACACTATTCCTCCCATGACATCAGTGATAGTGAGCTTCCTCTCTCCCACTTTTGATACCAATGATGGAGGCACTATTCCTCCCACTGATACCAATGATGGGGCACTATTCCCCACTGCCCCAAGTGGCGGGATCATGATTTTGCTGAGTACCAACGAGTGGGACACGTATAGCCTCCCACTGACATCAGTGATGGGGGCTATTTCAAAAACTGGGACAATTCCTCCCACTGATACCATTCTGGGGCGCTAGTGACCACTGATACCAATGATGGAATCACTGTTACCACTGCAAAATTACAGTTCTGAAGTAGCAACGAAAATAATTTAGAAAAGGATGGGGTTCACAACAACATGAGAACTGTAATTAAGTATTCGCGGCGTATCTAAATGGTTGAGAACCACTGGTATAGAGAGTCAAAAAGTTGTGGTGGGTGCCCAATAAACAAAAAATGACCTTTTACTTCCAGGGGGCATCATCCCATAATAGTCAGGCGGCAAAGTAAAGCAAATGAGTGGGACTTTATATAAGCCATTGGGAATAAATGTATGAGAAAAGAGTTATGAAATACAATTTGAATCCAACAGTTTTAAATATGAAATTGCCCATAGGCATATATAGGAACGTCCCCTCAGAACGGGAAAGCTCCCGCCCAGCTATTTATGTGCAGTTGCCGGATGGGAAGCTGCTAAGGACAGCCTGTCAACAACAGAACGTGGGCATGCAGTAGCTCACTAATTAGACAAGGTGACTAAATTCAATCTGGTGGTTGCCATGAAGAAAATGTTTTCAATTGTGTCCAGGAACTCGAGTGGCCTTGAATGCAGCTATTAGGCAAGATAAAGTCAGATAGTTATAGCTGAATTAGTTAATTAAATTGGAGCTGTTGCATGGTCAATGGATCTAAACTTTCATCAGTTTTCCTCTGCAGTTAGGCAATATAGCTTGCTCACCTATCTGCGCACAGCCTGTGAATGGACAATGAAAGAGGAGGAGCAGCAAACTGATGAGGTTATCTCTCTTCTTTCTCTCAAGTTATCTACCAGCAAATAAGCATCAGATAATATTTTTTCAGTAAGAGGTGTCAAAACACGGGGTTTTCCATTGCCGATTACTTGGCTACAACAGCATGAATTTTATCAATAAAAGCAATTTTCATGTAACAAATTTAGACTTTAAGGGTAACTCCATTTTTGTGGGGAAAAAAATTAACAAATTAAAAAAATAAAATTATAACACACACACACAATTGCTACACAAGCTACTGTATATTGTAACTGAATGTTATAAATTTCCTTTCCTTTTCAATCTACAGAGCTGTAATTTTCTGTAAAATTCAATGTAAAGTGGCAACCAGGAGGTGTTCTGTACACAAATGGTGTATAGAACGCCCCCAGAAATGTAATTTCCAGCCAGTGTAATTGGATCACTGATTTTCCCAGAAGCTTGCACTAAGATACAAATCAAGTTTTAGACATCCCCTGTAACAAAAATTTCAGTTCTGGTGAGATACTCCCAAAAGGCTAATTACTTCTAAAGGGGTGCAGGCCCTGCAAATTCATCGATAGAACACTGCAAGCGTATCAGTTAATTAATAATGAAAAAGTCACTCTCAATGAGCTTTACTCTGCACATAGACACAGGCAAACAAACAGCTTTTTGTTCAGAGCAGAAACAGATAGGAATCTGCAACAAAGTTTGTTAAAATCCTTCCAATGTAATTAATCACCCAGAGGGGAATGTTTTTTTCTCAACAAAAGTGGAGTTACTCTTTAAGGAGTAGTACAAATCTCTAAAGCACTGGCCTACATTAAAGCCTTGTGGTAAAAGGCTAGTAAATCTCCTGGTCAAATTAATAGGTCAATCTTACCTGTGCAACATATGCAGAATCAGATATAAGGGAAAAATTGTCCAATTCTCCTCTTCCAATATATGTTTGTAGAAGAATGTTGATTTTGCCATAGCCATTTTCTACTCCCCCAGCAACTGGAAGTTCACAGTAGTTGTCAATTAAGTGTTCTAATTCATTACTTTCTTCTTCACGTACCTATGATGGAAAAACACATGAACAAAAAAACTATATAAATTACACACTATAAGTATAAATTTGTGTGCTACATAAAATAAATGTCATACTTTTTTGAACTAGAAAAATACCAAGCTAGAACCAAACAGATAATTGCTTTAATTACTTTAGTTCAAAATTTCTCAACTAATAGATGCACACCTCAAAATATCTGGATAGGTTCCAGGTATACTCTTCTATCTGCTAACTGAAATTCACAATGTAAACAACATATACCTAATTACTTTCACTGCCAGGTCCATACAACATAGACCTACAGCATTGCTTGCAGCTGGCCAGGTGCGTATGCCGTACGGAACTGCATTCCTGACTGACCATAAACTTAAAGCAGAATTGTTCAGCAGGCTCTGCTGAACAAAATAATAGCTCTGATCAGCGCATGACAATCCGCTGATCAGAGCTATTCCGCTGATATGCGACACCCCCCCCCCAGCCAATGCCGCCAATGGTCACTCCCACACAACCCCCGATCCCTTGTGGCTACCCTGCAGTCGATGGCTTCCCGCCTGTCCCACTGACTTCAGGGTAGCCACACGGGTTTAAAAATATTTTCTCATCCCCCTCCCACCCCACCATCAGCAGTCCGACCCTAGAATGGCCCCCCATTCTTACAGTTGCTCCAGAATTTGCCCCTGCTGAGCTGCTAGCCGGCGTTCCCTCCCCCCTCCTGCTGGCTGCAGCAGCTACCTAAGGTCACAGACAAACTGTCAGAATTTAGCAGTGGGGGAGAGGGGGGTTTGGTAGACATGTGTTTACCACTTCCCCTTCCTTTCCTTGAATGGGCACAGTGAGCAATCACTCCTGATTGCTCCTGTGTCCATTAATCAATGGAGCAGAGTAAACAGTGTTTACAATACTTCAGTTTTGTGAATGAATAGGAGTTTCTATACAGACTGCTAATTCATTCATGTACAATGCAGCTCACGCTGTCTTCAATCCTTTTCTCTGTCTCAAAGAGACATCAGGGGTCTGTTTAGACTTCTGATATCTCACCAAAGCCCCATCTCCCAAAAAAAACCCCTAATTTTACAAAATATTAAAAAATAAAATTGTAAAAAATTTAAATAATAAAAATAAACAAATTGTAATGTCTTGCTCACACACGATATACTACAACATATGCCACTGCAGGGGCACGATTATGTGCGCAGGGATACACAGGTGTTCCGTGCATCCCTGTGCAGGCGTTCCCATTGATGTCATTTGGGATGTAGCAACTGCACAAACACAGCTGTTGCTCCCAGCTTGACATCCATGTGGGTCCGGGTGCATATCCCTGAGCTCATGCTGTCTGCGTTTGGGGTTATGCATTTAGACTCACACAGATGTCTGATTGGGAGCAGCGGCAGTGCCCGTGCAGCCGCTGCATCCCAATTGACATGAATAGGTCTGTCTGCAGGGGATGCATGGAATACCTGTACATCCCCATGCGGGTAAACGTGACTCTCCATGGGCAAACAATTTAGTATGCCCATGCCCAAGTAGCAATTTAGCAGCGATTTTGTAAGTTGTATTTGTGTCTGTCAATAATGATTTTAGTATATTATTAGTGAAAATAGCGATTTAATGAACATTTGTGCAACTATTGCCTAAAAAAAAATTAGTAGCACTTTTTTTTTTATTCTACAGGTCATGTGCTTTCAGAAAATGTATGGTGTGGGTGTCTTTTACAAATTCTGAAAGCTGTAAAGAAAAAATTATAACCTGCAGATTTTAGGGCTAAATTGTTTTTATTTACAGTTTTGCACACCATCCGTTTTCACCATTTCACAAAAAGGCACAATTTAAAATGTACAAATGTTTGTTTTTATTAACTCAATACAGTTTTAGATTTTATATTTAGTGGGAAGTTGGCATGAATTTAGTAAATTTTGCCATGTGTGTATAAACTAATAATGATTTTATTGTATTTTTTAGTGAAACTAGCGATTTGTTAAACATTTGCGCAAATATTGCAGGACCTAAAAATCAGTAGCACATTTGTTGTATTCTAAAGGTCATGTGCTTTCAGAAAATATATGGTTTGGGGTGTCTTTTACAAATTCTGAAAGCCGTAAGTGAAAAATGATAACCTCAGATTTTTAGAGAAAATTGTTTTTATTTACTGTTTTTTTCGCACCTTCAGTTTCCACCATTTCCCAAAAAGCACAATTTAAAAATTACAAACATTTTTTATTAACATAATACAGTTTAAACTTTAATATTTAGTTGGAATTTAGCAGGAATTTTGTAAATTTTGCCATGTACAGTATGTATCCACAAATGATTTTAGTGTATTTTTAGCTAAAATATTATATTAATAAACATTTGTGCAAATATCACAGGGCCTAAAAAAATCAGTAGCACCTTCCTTTTATTCTACTGGTCCTATGCTTTCAGAAAATGTGTGGTTTGGGGGGTCTTACACAAACTCTGACAGCTGGAAGCAATGAAGAAATTGCAAAAATGGCCTGGCTACCTGAGTTTAAAAGTGGAGTGCATGGCCTGGCAGCGGAAGGGTTAAATTAATTTTAGAAAATGTTTAGGTACATTGGCAAATAATATAACTAAAAACAATTGTCACCTGATCTTAGTGCAACATACTTTGTCTATGTGTAGCACCTGACTATTTCAACCCTTTATGACCATTCTTGTGGAACTACAGTTGTGTCCAAAATTATTCAACCCCCAAATGCTGTAAAGGGGTTTAGGGACTATAGTGTACATTTGGAATTGTATTCAGAATCAAATCCTACAAGGACGTTGTAACTACCCAAATGCAACTAAAATGACATCAATTGTTTATGTAATACAGTAGTAAATGGTTCTTATGTGGTTTCTTCATTGCCACAATTATTCAACCCCTTAAAGACTACCACTCTGAAGAACAGAGGTTCATACAGGTGCTTTCCATCAGGTATTGAAAACACCTGTGGATGTCACCGAGCAGCAATCAAGCATAATAAGCACCAATTAGGCAGCTTTAAAATGACTGTGATACTCAGCTCCTTCTAGACATTTACTGGTGTGGTTACAAACATGGTGAAGGCAAGAGAATGGTCCAGGAAGACAAGAGAAGAGGTGATTTCTCTTCACAGGAAGGGCAATGGCTATAAGAAGATTGCAAAGATGTTTAAACATACCAAGAGACACCTTAGGAAGCATCATTCGCAAATTCAAGGCAAAGGGCACTGTTGAAACGCTACCTGGTCGTGGCAGAAAGAAGATGCTGACTTCGACTGCTGTGCGCTACCTGAAGCGTAGAGTGGAGAGAAGTCCCCGTGTGACTGCTGAGGAACTGAGAAAAGATTTGTCAGATGTGGGTACAGAAGTTTTCAGCCCAGACAATAAGACGCACACTGCGTAATGAAGGCCTCCGTGCCAGAACTCCCAGGCGTACCCCCTTGCTGTCTCCAAAGAATAAGAAGAGTCGACTGCAGTATGCCAAAAGCCATGTGGACAAACCACAAAAGTTGTGGGATAGTGTTCTGTGGACTGATGAAACAAAATTAGAACTGTTTGGGCCCATGGATCAACGCTATGTTTGGAGGAGGAAGAACAAGGCCTATGATGAAAAGAACACCTTGCCTACTGTGAAGCATGGTGGAGGGTCAATCATGCTTTGGGGCTGTTTTGCTTCTGCAGGTACAGGGAAGCTTCAGCGTGTGCAAGGTACCATGAATTCTCTTCAGTACCAGGAGATATTGGATGGAAACGTGATGCAGTCCGTCACACACCTGAGGCTTGGGAGACGTTGGACCTTTCAACAGGACAATGATCCCAAGCATACCTCCAAGTCCACTAGAGCATGGTTGCAGAGGAAAGGCTGGAACATTTTGGAGTGGCCATCGCAGTCACCAGACTTAAATCCGATTGAGAACCTCTGGTGGGACTTAAAGAAAGCAGTTGCAGTGCGCAAGCCTAAGAATGTGACTGAACTGGAGGCCTTTGCCCATGAAGAATGGGCGAAGATACCCGTAGATCGCTGCAAGACACTTGTGTCAAGCTATGCTTCACGTTTAAAAGCTGTTATAACTGTAAAAGGATGCTGTACTAAGTACTAAGATTGAATGTCACTTGGGGGTTGAATAAAACTGATAATGCTGTGAGCACAGAAAAGACATTTGTGGTTATTTCATTATAACTGTTATGTTATATTTGTCTGACCTACAAGTGCCTCTTTAATGTAAATGTAAGCAAGATGACTGAATGATCAAAAGCAATGTCAAACTGGCCAAAACACTCAATTTCAGTGGGGGTTGAATAATTTTGGACACAACTGTAGCTATCTTGCATGATTTTGGCAGACTACTACTGTTTTCTCCATGTTTAGTTGATGCAAATAGTAACTGAATGTTTCCAATCCCTTCATCCAAACACATACACATGCAGGGCACCCAAATTTAAGTTAGCAGAGTGATTAAAAATTAAATCTTTTGCCATTTAGATTTTATCTCGGTATCTGTTGACCAAACTTTAAATTTTTACCCTACAGCCTTGCCACTTTGTTTTAGGGGATGTGAACTTACAGGCACTATGGCTCCACGTATAGTGGTCCTGCCCCAGGATTCGTAGGTACTGGAACAAGCTTTTTCATTTTATAGGTCACTGGTTTTGCTGCCCCTCAGACTCCGCAGCTTGCCTTACCTAATATGCCATTGGTTCATATTCCCAAAAACAAACAGAAACAAATCTTCTATATTCTCCTTGGGGCAAAACTGACTATTGCTCACTCTTGGAAGCAGCTCACGGTTTCCTTTAAAGCCACAAGACGGAAAATTACCTGGATAATGCTCCAAGAAAAAGTGGTTAGTGTACTCCTTGATAAGGTCACACAGTTTGAAAGCATCTGGGAACTCTGGGCTCAAGAAGTTAATATCTCCCTCTTTATTTAATGTTGTTTCCAGCCACAAGATTTAAGATGACTCCAAAAATGGTCTTTATATCTGTCTCTTCTTTTACCTTCTTGTTTCCTTCTCTCA